TTAGTAGATCTCCTAACATCTTTAGGGATTACTCCGGATTACATGATTAGTCATTCTGCTGGCGAACTGGGTTGCGCGTATGCGGATGAATGTCTCACCATTGAACAAACTATTTTATCAGCATATTTCATTGGTTTAGCTTGCACCGAAAAAAATATAATTCATAGTTCTATGGCAGTTGTGAGTTTGGATTACGAGAGTCTTAAAAATATTTGTCCAACGGATATTGAAATAATATGCAGCAATAGCGAAAGCAGTAGCGTTGTGAGTGGACCCACAAAATCCATACAAGAATTTATTAAAAAATTACAGGTAATTGAACAGCTATCGTATATTATAAGTGGAAAACTTGATCTAATAAACATATTTGAAATTAAGTTTTTTAATTTATGCCAAAATTTGCTTCACAAAAATGTTCTTACTATATTTATTGTTATATTACTAGGTTAATAATATTTATATGAAAGAGATCTACTGTAACGTGCCATATCACAGTTCTTATCTCGCATCCGTAGAATCTCAACTTTTGTTTAATTTGAACAAAATAATATCATGTCCGAAAAAACGAAGTCCAAAGTGGATCAGCACTTCCATACCTCGTGCCGAATGGCACACTTCAGCATCAAAATTATCATCGGCGGAATATCATACATTTAGTATATTAAATACTGTTCTTTTTGAACAAGCAAGGCATTTAATTCCAAGTAACGCTGTGACCATTGAGATCGCACCAGACAGCGTTCTGCAGCAAGTTTTGGAGAAATCTTTGCATCCAGAGGTTACAAACATTTTATTGACTCGACGCACTGAACAAAACAATAATGTAATTTTTCAAGGAATAGGGAAACTTTACAACTGTGGCTTGCAACCACAAGTTGCTAATTTATATCCGCAAGTAACATTACCAGTTAGCCGAGGAACTCCTATGATCTCCCCATCGATCAGGTACAAGATACATGTTATCGTAATCATAAAATAGACTACAATAAAATTACATACATACATACATATACAGGATGTCTCGTACTCAATGGTACAGCGCTTGTGGGCAGGTAGTGTGGACCAAACTGAACAAAAAAATCTCCTACCATTTTGCGATCTTTGCAATAGTTATCGAGATACTAATCATTTAAAAAAAAAAAAAATTTACATAATGGCTAAGATTTTGCTTCACTATAATTTTATTGATCATTTTAATAACTTTAAGTCTGTTTTACAAAACTTAAAGTTATTTGAAAAGACAACGGCATTAAACTTTTGCTGCATATAATTTTGAATAATTTAAACAATTTATTAAAAAAATATTTTTCTGGTTTGGATTAAAATATTTTTGTCTCTACTCTGTATGTCTAATCAAATACTTGGCAATTGCCAATTTGTACGATCTCATATTTGT